TGTATGACCTGTTATGGCGGAGTAAATCCACTTAAACTGGGAGCGCACAAATGATGCGACCGTGTCAGTTGACCTCCATCAAGTATCATAAAGCTATCCAGGTTCTCTAATGCGGTCATGAATACTTCCAATTATATTGAATAGGATAATATTTATTCAATCATTCAACTGAGGGGTTCATACGCACATTTCGAAATGCCTTCAGGACAAACCGTTTCTGACCAGCACAATACCACATCTCCCCTTATAGGGTCTTGTCATTCATCAATGCAAGCTCTGTATGTGAGGTTTTCCTTTACATCAACCACACAGGTTCTCGTAGGGGTAAGTTGAAACTTACTATGCATGAATGAGTTCGTGGCATTTAATCGGGTCCCAAGTTTCGTGCTCACCATCATGACCCACATCCGGCGGTATATCACACGACTCAAAAGCAGACCAATAATGCAAGGGTCTCACGGGGCTCACAAACCCCCGAGGTTGAGCCTGCTGTTTGTCATGGCCATACCGCGAAACGAATGAACTCAATCTGTCATATGATAATGCTGGATTTTGTAAAAGTCCGAGTGCTTTCCTTTCAAACCCTCTGCCCAAAGCTTCAGTTCATCTACTTTTACTCCATCAAACAGTTTTTACGACTATTGCCCATGCATCTTCATGAGCCGATTTGGGCTGCCCAGTTGGATAAAAGAACAGAAGCAAGATTAGAATGTTGAAAGTAGAGTCAAACAGTAGACAATTCATATAGACTGGGGTCGCAAGGATAATTATTAGATGCACGAGCGCCACTGCGATACCGAGCCATATCACTCAGTGTCTCTAACCAACGGTTACCGTGATCTCGCCGTCCCCATCCAGGGAGCCTAACGGGACCCATGTGACCCAGTGTCCTGGTAAGGGTTTTCATAACTTCGTGCCAGGTCGTGGTTTGACCTTTTTCCGTCAGCATTCACTCACACTGGCTCTGACTTCCTAGTGATTTTTTCTGGAATCTGTGTATTATACAGGTCACTCAGTCGTCCATGTGTTTGAACGAACATCATACACCACACCGCAGCAAACCAAAGTCCGTGTTATACTTGCTCATAAGATACACTCTGACCGTTCTCATACCCCTAATTTCACCTCTAAACAATGTATTTCTACCTCTTCCGTTTGCCTAAGCCTTAATTTCCCATTGCCTAGTTCCCACACATAGGGGTGTTGGCTTAACAAACGTCTCTGATGACGGGCGTCTAAAAAGGATTACCCAAAGCTAGGCCGGCCTGGATCCATTGGGGATTCCGGTCTCGAGTATCACACTCCACTTGCTCATCCATACGCTTCTTGACAAGATGTACTGTCCAGGAATTCAACTGTTCCTATCGTCAACATTACATTTCGCTTCTATACTAAGCAACGAATACGGTTGCCAATATTCTCCTCCCCTCGCGACAGGGAACTCCTCACCCAAAAAACGGTTGTTTTTTTCAGATCTCCATGAACCTAGAATAACACTCGCATTGTGCAAATCCGCTGTTTGCGAGAAACACTTAGATCGCTGCTTCTGAATCCCAAATGTGGCTTGATTCAAATTATCGTTATATTGTATGGGACTTGTTTCGGTCACAATGATGTAATTGGAGATCACCAAGTGTCATGCTTCGTATAACACTACCGTCAAACAAAAAATAAGTTAAGTAAGGCAATGGAGACAGACAAATACAGTCGCTCTGAGAAATAAGCATACAAAAATAATAAAACGCTTAAGTTTTCGCTGATTTGAAATATGGCACCCTATATATGTGAGCAGTAGATACTAGAGCACAGTAGTACCATAGAAAGATTTTGTATTTTACTCATTTTTCATATCAAGAGGTAAATAGGGTTCTTGGGAAGGCATGAGCTTCTCACAAACCTTCTTTTGTTCACTCATTGCTCCGATATGGTCAAACCCAGCGAGCCGTTCAATACAGCTTTTTTTATCCGATAGGAACGATGTAATTTTGGCGGATGATGGCGCGATACAGTAAACACCGATTGGATAGTCCGATTATGATTAATAACTTTTCACTGTCCATATTATTTATTCATAATGCAATAAATTAGCCACTGTATTTGTGGCCTCATATCTGCGTCTGAGGAAAGTGATGATCGGGAGCTAAAATCTGATTGATACAGTATGAGTATAATAATTAATCTATAACATACGCAACCTCCACCGCCGAGGACATTCAAGACGTCTGCTTTATTTTTATTTTTTTCGTGTATGGCGATGGGGCACACTGTGTCATTGGTAGACTTCCAAGAAAATAACAAGAGAAGCAATATGTTTAGCTTAAAATGAATGGTTCCACTCAAACATTTGATTCATTAAGAGGGAGACAAACGTGGATCAGAAATGTGTTACGGAAGTCCAATAAAGCTTACTTGTAGGAATTTCAGTCGAGCCAGAAAGTCATTNTGGTTTTAAAGAGGGATAGGATTTGGTCATCCACATAGCTGGAATTTTCGAGGCCAATATGGCTGCAACAACAGCCTCCAGATCCGCGGACATAACCACTAAACCTTTGATTGCCAGGCGAATATCAGACAGACTTGAACGGATCACGCTGAGCAACGCGTTGAATCGGACCATTTCTTGGACGAGAACAGTGTTCATGCTCTGTTCGTAACGAGTTGGATACTTGCGCAACACAAGCTCAGTATTGTAGTTCGGTGGTAATCGACCAAGTACATCTGCAGCGACTTCATCCACCGTTTCATCAACCGACTTACCAGAAGATGAAGATCCTTTTGACTGTTTTAGTGGGAAAAGTGAACGGGCAGGAAAGAATCAGCTGTTTATTCTAAATCAGGGCCATCAGCGTCACGTGTTCTTGTTTAGTTCATCTGTGGGTCTCATTCCATGGTAGTTTGCTTATATAATACTGGTGTTTGATAGGTTCTTCATTTATGATGAAAGGAATATTTTGTGACTAGCGATTGACAAAGGGGTCTTCTCCATTCTTCCTCTTTGTTGTGTCCCGTGGAAGAAAATAAACACTTAAGCAAAAAATTTAGTAGTTATTCTATTTCCAGTACTGTAACGAACTTGGCAACCTGCCATTCCGTTTGAGTGTTAGTCGTGTTCATTTTAGTGAAGACACGGGCGTAGCCATTTTGAATTGAGTGTGTAAGTCGTGTGCATGTCTCATTGGGCCTTTTGGTTCAGTTGGTTCGTTGCTTGTTGTATTTTCCCTGTCTTGCAAGTTGCTTGGATGCTCCCTCCACGGAGATTCTACTGTGAGAAGTGTGTCCTACCTGCGTATTAAGAACGTCAGCGAGTGGCCAGGTATCGTGCGGCCTTTTTTGGATGATGCTAGTTGTATAAGAACTCGGAGTGCGTTACCCGGAGTCGACCTGCCAGTGTTTCGAGCAGATTCAGAACTAGGGTCGTCCCTGCATGCTACATCATGTCTTACTGGACCTTATGGTTCATGGTATCTGTATTTTTTCCTCTCTCATATTGTCAGTTTACCCTCTCCACGGAGAACCTCCTGTCTATCGATGGTTCCAGCCCGCACTGAGACTCGGTCCGCATTCGGTTGTCTGGTGTATCCGTTCGTCATCCTGCTGCACACACGATCCTATGCATATTACAGTACGTAAACGTAAACCCATCCGGTCTGTAGGCCGATGAGCGAACAGTGCTTCACCAAGCCGGTAGGCCAACACTGGCTCAAGCATCACAGGACATCAGAATGCCGTCAAGCAAGCACTCAAATAGATAATGAATCAATCAACGTGAATAGTCCAATACACACTTATTCTTGCATACATTCAGTGTCCCTGAGATAACTCGAATCACTGAATAATGGGTTGAGTTCGGCTCAATATCCGGGAATCGAATGACAAATTGAATAATCACAGCTGCTATTGTCGAAATGATTCAATTGCACATCGAATTGGTGTTAGTTGAATAAAACAGTCCATCTATCCTTTAAACAGGTAGAAATCTCAGTAATATGTATATTGTGAACTAACTTACTTGAGTTAGCAGAATGTTTGTGAACATCAGATTAGTCTCTTGCTGATCTTTGGTGATATCCGCGTTCTCGTGCATGCCGAAAACACTGGGTGCCGGATTGAGTGGGAGAGATTTGATGTAATCTATGTATCCTTCATACTAATCAATATGAGAGGGAGTGGGAGAAAAAACCCTGCGAGTGAAACTTTGTAACGAGCAGTAAAACTTGGTAAAAATTTAACAGATTCATTTTGCAGCTGAACAGTAACTATTTTTACCTATATTTTATATTCTACATAGCCAGTCTTATGCTACGACTAAAGACAACGTCTATGATAATGGAATAAAACTTAGCTTCTGTGCGAGTTTCAAGTGGTGAGAAATACTATATGGCATTGTAGTAATAACGTAGTAATTGCCTATATCAAAACTGCAAGGAGACGTATTAGTCTGTCAGCCAGTCAAGTGCGCATACGGTCCTAGCGATAGTGATTCAACGGATGGTTCATCGAACGTCGGTGGACCAGTGTGTATGCGTGTAGATTTTGATGTCACATGATCGTAATTGCTGGTTGTGAGTGCTAGAACTACACTGAAATGTTGTACTTATTGAGCACGGAATAAGGAGGGCGCAACCGTCCGGTACAAATTATGATGTGATTGTAGTTCGCTACGTGTTGTATAAAATTCGTAAGAATTTAGTCGAAGATCTTGAGCGTATAACAAAAAATCATAATGAACCGTTTAAATTTGATTACGAATAAGGGTCGGTGATAGTCATCATGTTTTTCAATACATTTCTACTTCTAACTGGATTTCTTCCGGGCAGTCTCAAATTCATTCAAAATAATAATAATAATAATAGGTGATTCTCAGTCGTTTGATTAGCTTGATGAAATAATAAAAATAAAATTCGTCGAACCCTAAAAGATGCTCTAAGTTCAGTTTCAATTTTCCCGACCATTAACCATACGCTATCAAGCGAAATTCTTCCGACAAGCCAATGTTTATGACACTCAGCTAGATCACTCTGTCTCGAACAGTTGACAAACAGTTCCCTAAGCAAGAATACTACTGTGAGGAAGTTCACTGTTCATTGTTTCATACCCTTATGCCATGTCATGTTTTGATCTCACGTGACCATTCACCTACTCCCAACCCCGTCGAATGTTGGACGTTGATGAAACCAACTTGGTGACATGCATAAAACAGCCATCGTAATCAATGGGGAACAGGGACTTACATTTTAGCGTGAGCGTGAATAATACACCAATGCACCCAACCTTGCAAGGACCCCACCGAGTTTCACGATAGCTTCCACGTGGCAGATGTTGACCGAAACTTTTGTGTACGAGCCAAAACTTCATCCATCATGATAAGTTCTAAGCTGATTTCTACCTGTTCAAGCGACGAAATTTCTTCAATTTCTCTAATTACCGTCCAAACAGAGCTGGAGCTGGACAAACCTAATCCTATGACGGCGTTTTACACCAATGGCCGATTAAACTTGTTTAAATGAATAATCCCCCTTTGATGAATGAAATGAATAGAAACGACGAGATCTGATTGCCATGGTCTCCATAACTCACGTGTGTATCTTCCGGGACATAGTAGGTGCCTGATTCATCAAGTAGATAGGTTTTTTCATCCACCACGGCGGGACAATAGAATCGCATCAGTACCGTTTTTAGAGTGCGACGATCCCATTCGTCCGTCACACGGCCACCATAGTTACATTCTCCAGTCAGGTAACGCAAAGCTTCGTATTGAACATCCTTGAAGAAAGCAAAAATAAATTTAAAATTTATATAATTCATGGAACCAATGGTTTTCAAAGTGTTTTAATGCTGACGTTACTAGGTCTATTATTTCTTCAAGACTGCGCCGCTGAGCATTGTTTAGATTACGAAAATCAAAGGCGTATTCGCTTGGCTAATTAAGAGCGGAGAAAAATTGTTTTAACCCATATCACATTGACAGAAAACGATAGTATATTGAAGCTAGGACATTGAGGATTGTTCATAAATTCTCCTAGGACTACAGTTAATTTCCTTACATTTGACACGGAGATAGAGGGTTAAGTCTCTTCTCCTATTTTTCTACATCATCATCAGTTCCCGTTGATTATCCCATCACGTGATACAGTTGCTCATGACAGACTCTGACCAATACCGTCCAATCCGTTTTTTCCGTGAGTCAGCTTGACTTAATTTTAGACCATCGTCTAATCGATTGATGTATTCTCACAGCATTCATTAACTCATTAACTCGTTTCCGATCAGTACACTATTTTGTGTGTTCTGATTACTTGTATTGGGTTACCGGGCCTTTAACAATGCTGTGTATTAGCGTCACTATTTGAATTCGGTTTTAACATGGGCATATTATGGAACTTATGTATAAATAAGAACGATGGAATACGTTTGCGGATTTTGCTTTCGGAAATTGTCTGCTGCCCCCCCCCCCCNTGGATATTCGCCCCGACCCTAGCGATGAATTTAACGTTTACACCGCACGACGTAACACCCATCTTTTTCCAAGTTCTATCCACTCGACCTCATCATACTCAAATCATAAAAAAATATTAGTTATTTCCTACTTAGTTTTCGTCTATCACCAAAGAAAAGACGTGCATCAGGGAATTGACCTACGACAAAAAGAGCATATGTTTAGGTTTACTGGTAGAGGTAGGTGAGCTCTATATCATAAAGTGCTGACGTGCAGCAAATCACCAAAGCCATCTTGAGTAGCCTGATGACAACGTGTAGGACTCACAAAGCTACATGTGCGGGCTTGATCTACCACAAGCTTGGTATATGTTCATTGGGGATAAATTCTGGCTTTCCCACGGGCCAGGTACCCATTGCTGATAAATCCTTGGATTATAGGTATGACACGGTGACACTTCAAGACGAATCATTTTATTATGACTTAATCTCTCACCTATTAAATAATTTTACTAAACAAACCATTGTGTTCGTCGGATAAATGCGAATTGGTACTGGATTCAGTCAATTAAAGTAACGAATAAAGAGATAGAGTTCATTGATTGAAAACTCGGAGCGATTGTACGGAGTTTCGTTGAAGGTATTTGTGATCTGAGTGGAGAACTAACAACCTGACCTCATTTAGTTCACGAATATCACGTAGAAAGATACAATACTTAACATCAAACACTTGAGAATCACAAAAAATGTCGTTTTAGCTAGTCTGATATTTATCTAGGAGCATTTGACAACAGGTATTCAATGATAAAAAGGATTTTTTTCATGTGATACGGTAATCAATGGTGGAGGTAAGAACCAAATCAGTCACTTTTTGTGGAGTCTTCACTACTTCTAGTTCCACTAGTTCACCGAAAGCAGTGAATAAACCACAGATTTGTCTTGAAATTTAATTGGTTATTTCTGGTTTATAAAATGAATTAATAGAGAGCTCGAAAAGAAAAGCATGTGGTGAGAGACGTGGCGCGTACATAGGGAACTGCCGAGTTCACTGCACAACCTAGCTCATCCAGACGTGTACGAATGCAATGTTATTTCATCAGATCAATCATGTACTTCCAATGGTACACTTTGACAATCGAATGCGCTTGTTAAACCAACAAACGAATGTAACAGCACAACATGCATTGGAATTTCCAAGTTCGAATACTCTACAGACCAATTGTGACATGTACCGCTTCATAGTTGGGATCCGTTTAATTCACTCATTGATTTGGACAAATTGCAGCACCAAACAAATCTACACGATACAAGAATTAGCAAGGCAGGGAAAACATAATGAGCATGAGTGCGAGACACGACAACATGGAAACAAATGACCTACGGAATATTGTTCCAAAAATATATGCAGTTGTTGGACGGAGATGCGTAAATCCGTTTCATTGAATTCGTACGGTGTGTTCCAACCTAGCGGACCGAATTTTCGTCTTTCTTGTACAATGGCATGGAAGAAGACCAGACCGAACAGCATTTTTTTCCACGCGTGTTCATTTGGACAGGATTGAAAAAATTCCTGATCTGAGATCGGATCGCTCAGATATGATCGCCATAGATTGAAACGTAAACCTTTCGGTGGCTCGTTGGTCATTTTTACACCGTTCTGTAGAATAGCCACGGGGAAATCTTTACTCGGATAACTAGTCAACCATAGTCGGAAATCCGGATGTGTGGTGTCCGGGTTCAACTCCTCCACCGTCTTCTCGAGCATGCCCATCCAACTGGGAGCCAGATGACAATTCTGTAACAGGACCCATGTGCCTTCTTTTACTCCACGTTCAATCATCCGCAAGGCAATCGGGCCTTGACCTTGACCGAGCGAAAGCGATTCAAATTTGGTTCCACCGAATCCCATATCCTCGGCAAATTTGAGCAATGCTACCATGGGATCTGCACCCGGTGAGAGGACAAACAGTAACGGGATTGTGCAAGCGGAATCAGCAAAAGTGCCGGGCAAATCGAACGGTGGAGGT